AAACTGGTATGAGGAACCCTGGCCTATTAAAAATAAGAGCCGGAGAAAGGAAAGAGCAGAACTGCTCTGGCTGTAGGTTCAAGGAGTGTCCGGGCTTTTCTTTCACTTTCAACAGCAGCTACTCAGGAACCTCTGAGAACTGAGTTTGAAGCCAGTGCTATCAAAATCAAATTTCTCTGCAACCCAAAATGAAGTGGTCTAAGTGAGGGGACCCTAAGCTCTGGAGAAGCATCTGTTACCACTGTGCCTGGGGGCAGGGGCAGCCCTATTAAAGAGCAGAGCAGATCGGCGGACCAGGTGGGGGCCTCTCCTTCATTGCTGCTAACAAAGATTAGATAGGAAGGATGAAATCCTCTGTAGAACAGACAGTCACTTCAGCTGAGTCAGAGTACACACGGGATACAGGAAAAGCGACTGGCCGGGTGTAGTGGACCGGGTATAGTGGTTCACGCCTGTAATCCCAGCACTTTGGGAGTCTGAAGGGGCAGGATTGCGTGAGCCCAGGAGTTCAAGCCCTGTCTGGGCAACTTGGCAAAAACCTGTGTATAGAAAAAAAATACAAAAAGTTAGCTAGGCATGTTGGCATGCGCTTGTACTCCCAGCTACTCAGGAGCCTAAGGCAGGAGGATCACTTGGTCCTGAGAGTTTGAGAGGCTGCAGTGAGCCATGATCGTGCCACTGCACTTCAGCCTGGGTGACAGAGCAAGACTCTGTTTTTAAATTTAAAATGAAGAAAAGAAAAAGAAAAAAATTGTGTCCCTGGAAGAGAAAAATGTACATTGTAGCTAAGTCAGGAGGAATGGGGAGCAACTTACAAAAAAGCTCACCTACTGGTTATATCTGAAAGATTAGTGTGTGATTATCTTTGCTTTCTGATTTATTTGCTGCACTAGAGTTAGGAAATGGCTCTGAATAACTTGGCCATCCATGCCCCCTCATACATTTTAGTAGCCAAAATCAAGAGAATTAAAATACCAATTGAAAAGTGTATTTTGCCAGAGTACCCTTTCTGCAAGTGGTCAGAAATTACTGAGACAGAAGTTTAACCAAAGAACTTTATCATTCTGTCAATAACTGATATACTGCAGGAAACCCAACAGTGTATCAGAAGTTTCCAAATGAAGCTTCTTTGAAGGTACATGATTAGCATCTCATTCTCCCTGTCAAATGAGTGACAGTTATTTTTAGTGTAAACATGTTTTGCGTGCTTTTCTTCTGTGAACTGGAAAGCACTGCCCAAGATTTACGAAGAAATACCAAAAATAACTAGGCTCCCATGGCCCCAAGCAGAAAAAAAATACATGTATCTATGTTTTTTATAATAAATATATATATTCTGTATCTAAATATAGATCTATATCTATATTATATAATTACACATTATACATGTATTATAACTATATGTAAATATATGTAACATTAATTATAACATATTAATATAATATATAATCATATTAGATATATATTATGTAAATATATATTTAGATATCTATGTTGTATATAGAAATACATATCTAGAACCATCTTTGTGCATTGTTGAAGATTTTCCCTGGGAGCCTATTGGAATATAAATGCCTCTCAAATTCTATGAGTCTTAGTCTTCTTGTTGCCTAAGTGACCTGTGGTGCATACAAATTTCTGATGGGAACCAACTTGGCCAAGATGGCGCTTTGTGAATCTCATTCACAGAAACTGCCTCTTTTTTAACTTTGCCTTGGTGAGTTCTAGCATTTTGCATTTTAAAGGACTGTCCAAGAAGGATATGTGGAGTTGCCACCAGCTCTGCATGACCTTAACCTTGAGAAAGAGGGAACTGCCAAGGAACGGGAGGAGCAGATAAGCTTTCATGTTTATGGAGTCAGGTAGAAAGTGTAGAGCCAGAGGAAACTGACCTTCACGCCTTAGCCAGGATATTTATAATCTCGACAGGGTGTGCTGGGTGAGGGAAGAGTACATTTCCATTCCATTTGAGCCACCCAGTTTAAACATTGCGCATCTGAATGTTGGGAAGGTTCCTTGCGTTACATGTCACAAAAATTCATCTTTTGCCTCTTTTCTTTTGACAGAGAATTTGTCTCGCAGACATATTGTGTTAAATCCATCGCACTTCTGTTTTTTACAGGAAGGAGAAGCAGAAGGGTCAGTGAAAGAAATCAAGCATACTCCTGGGCCCACGAGAACAGTCTCCATTGGCATGTATGTGAAGGAAGACGCAGGCTGGCAGGCAGGCGGGCTGGGCAGGCTTGTCTATAGGAGCTTGTCACAGGAACTCGAGTGTAATGGCCTGCGGAAGTAACTTCTTCATGATTTAAACCAGGACCTTTCAAGAATATTTAGTTTGAATGCTCCTTAATGTCGCAGCTCAAACTGGCAGATTAAAAATCGTTTGGTGGCCGGGCACAGTGGCTCACGCCTGTAATCTCAGCACTTTAGGAGGCCAAGACAGGCAGATCACAAGGTCAGGAGATAAAGACTAATCCTGGCTAACATGGTGAAACCCTGTCTCTACTAAAAATACAAAAAAAAAAAAAAAAAAAAATTAGCTGGGCATGATGGCAAGCGCCTGTAGTCCCAACTACTCAGGAGGCTGAGAGAGGAGAATGGCTTGAACCTGGGAGGTGGAGGATTCAGTGAACCGAGATCACGCCACTGCGCTCCAGCCTGGGTGACAGAGCGAGACTCCGTCTCAAAAAAAAAAAAACTATTGGTGCCTGTTTGGCTCACACTGACTACTCTGTTCTAATGGTGTCTCACCTCCAGCAGGTTAGAAGTGAAAACAAACTGATTCTCAGTCAAGTCAATGATTTGTTCCTAATCAGACACTTTTGCTCATTGGTTCCCCAGTGCTATTTTACTCAGGCTGTCCAGCTTCCATAAATGAAATATTTTTATTTTCTTTTCCCTGCTACTTCCTACTTACAAGCCAGGGTGACCAATATTGAAACATCTTTTGTAACCATGACCTATAGCACTCTTAGTCACTGTGGGTGTCACCTGAGAGTGCCCAGATTTCTTATCTATGGCATCTCAAGTGTACCTGTCCTGTGTAGATGTGAAGAAACAGACATCTTAAACAGTGGCGCGGCCTTGGGGAGGGAGGTAGACCTAGAACTGGGTGCGTGAACCTCTTGACTCTTAACAAGCATTGCTCACCAAGGAGACTGCTAGCTCACCTTTTGCAAGCTGCTCACTCCTGTAATCATCTGTTTAAGACACAGTTACTTTGAAAAGATCTCTAAGGATCTCTTATAGATTTTTTTTTTTTTTTTTTTGAGATAGAGTTTCACTCTGGCACCCAGGCTGGAGTGTAGTGGCGCAGTCTCGGCTCACTGCAACCTCTGCCTCCCGGGTACAAGCAATTCTCCTGCCTCAGCCTCCTGAGTAGTTGGGACTACAGGTGCCCGCCACCATGCCCAGCTAATTTTTTGTGTTTTTAATAGAGATGGGGTTTCACCATGTTGACCAGGCTGATCTCAAACTCCTGACCTCAGGTGATCCACCTGCCTCACCCTCCCAAAGTGCTAGGATTACATGTGTAAGCCGCCACGCCAGCCATCTCATAGATTCTTAAAACCTTTGTATAACTTGATAAATGTGCATATAGAATGACTTACAAAATGTGAGAAAAAAATTGTCTTCCATTATGTTTCTAAGCCCTTGTATACGGAAGAAAGTCTTAGGTAATATTTTGTCATCAAACAGGATAATTGGCATAAACGAAAGTAATTCCCTTTTTTGGTTAAAAATTCCTCCAGTTTCCCCCAAATTGCTTTTTTAATATTCAAAGACGTTCCTGGAAGTAGAAATAAAAAAGCCCTGCTTGAAATTTCAAAGCCACTTCCTCATCATTCATATCCAGATGCAAAGACCACTTCCTTTTTTAAGCCACGTGGCTATTTTTAAAATAACAGCTCTGGACCACTTGTGAGTATCGTAATTAGTGTGAGATTGATTTCTAGGTTTGGAGTTGGAGCTTCAGAGTCCTGGAAACTGGGATTTGACCCTGGCTGTTTATTAGACATGTGAACCTCAGTCGGTGGCTGAAAGAGTAGCTGCCGTTAGCATTGTCACAGCCATCCCTGATGTTTTGTAACAGCGATTATGGTTTTGTTTGTCACTGATATATCTCTTAGTCAGATTTTGAAATCAAGAAAAATACTTGACATATCGACAGTGCCTCCATTTCTCTGCTCTCATTACTTGAGGCCACAAGTGTAAAAGGTTTTCTCCCCTTGACTTGAGCTGTGATGTTCTCTGTTAACTTGGAGAAAAGCCAGTTGCCTATACAATGTGCCTTTATATTTTGCCTGACTGCAGTCCCCTTTGACACGAGACTGCTGGAAAGCTTGGCACCTTCAGCCACGGTCGCCTCTGCTGAACTGTTCTGTGGGTGTTGTGGCCTGGTTTCAGGTACACAGTGACCGTTTGGAGGAAATGGGTATGTGCAGTGTAAGGCTGGCCTCTCCAGAGCCTCACTGAGTCTCCACACCTTCCCTAGGAAGCATGGAGGAGCTTGGCGCTGGGGGTCCACTAGTTTTGCATTCCCACCAGTGGCGTATGTGCATTCCACTTTCTCCACGTCCTTACCAATGCTTGTTTCTGTCTTTCACTGTGACTTTAGCGATCCTAGTGGATGTGAATTGGCATCTCATAGTTCTGCTTTGTATTTCCCTAGTGACAGTGATGTTGAGCTTGTTCCCTAGTTGAGAATTAGTTGGAGAATGTTCTGGAAAGCGCTTCCTGTAAGTTGGTTCCAGTTATATTGGGCCACTCTTCTCTTAGGCTTTGGTATTTTTCTGATGAAAATCTTTTAACCTTTATACTGAACATGGCATTGTCTAAATATAGGAGCAGATCTGCAGAGGGGGCCAAGAATTACTTGGAACATGAGGAGTTAACTGTGAGCCAGCTCCTGCTGTGCCTAAGGGAAGGGAACCAGAAGGTGGAGAGACTTGAAACTGCACTCAAGGAGGCCAAAGAAAGGTATGAAACAGGTTAACTTGAAATACACATTTTTTAAAAAAACAGCTTTACGGACATATAATTAAGATACCATAGAGTTTACCCCTTTAAAGTGTACATCTCAGTGTGTTTTAGAATGCTCACAGGATTATGCAGCCATTGTTGCTAAAATATAATTTCAGAACATTTTCCCCCAAATAGCACTCACTACCTGCTCCTCTAAGCAGTGTGCTTTCTCTCTATATAGACTTGGCCATTCAGGACACTTCATATAAATGGAATTATACAGTCTGTGGTCTGTTCTGACTGGCTTCTTTCACTTAGCCTAATGCTTTTGAGGTTCATCTACAATGTAGCACATATCAATACTTCCTTTTCCTTGCTGAATAATCTTCTATTGTCTATATAGACCACATTTGTTTATTCATTCGTCAGTTGATAAACATTAGGGTTGTTGCCACTTTTTATCTATTATGAACAATGCTGCTATGAACACTGTGTACAAGCTTTTACTTGGACGTACGTTTTTAATTCGCTGGGGTATATTGCTATGGGTGGAATTGCTGGGTCATATGGTGCCTCTGCTCCATATTCTAAGGAACCACCAAATTGCTTTCCAGAGCAGCTGTGCAATTTTGCGTTCCCACCAGCAGTGTATGAGCATCCCACTTTCTCCACGTCCATAGCAATGCTTGCTTTTTACTGTCTGTCACTTTGACTTGAGCCATCCTAGTGGATGTGAATTGGTATTTCATAGTTCTGACTTATATTTCCCTAGTGACAGTGATGTTGAGCATCTTTTCATGTTGACCATTTGTTTGCTTTGGAGAAAAGTCTATTCAGATCCTTGGCCGATTTTTAAAAATTGGGTTGTCTTTTTACATTGACTTATAAGAATCCATTTTACATTCTGGATACAAGTCCCTTATTAAACATCTGATCTGCAACTATTTTCTCCCGTTCTATGGATTGTCTTTTCGCTTGATGGTATCATCTGCAGCACATTTGTTCTATTTTGATGTAATACAGTTTGTCTCCTTTTTCTTTTGTCACCTGTGCTTTTGATGTCCCTTCTGAGAAACCATTGCCTAACTCAAGGTCACAAAGATTTACTCCTTTGTTTTCTCTTAAGAATTTTGTACTTTTATCTCTGACATTTAAGTCTGTGGTCCATTCTGAGTTTGTTTCAATGTACGCTGTGATATAGAAGTCCAACTTCATTAGACTCTCAATTCTGTTTCATTGATCTATGTCTGTCCATATGCCAGTACTACAGTGTCTTGAGTACTATAGCTAGGTAGTAAGTTTTGAAATCAGGAAGTGCATTAGTTCGTTTTCATACTGCTGTAAAGAACTGCCTGAGACTGGGTAATTTGTAAAGAAAAGATGTTTAATTGACTCACAGTTCAGCATGGCTGGGGAGGCCTCGGGAAACTTACAATCAAGACGGAGGGCAATAGGAGAAGCAAGGCACCGTCTTCACAAGGCAGCAGGAAGGAGAGGTGCTAATCAGATCTCATGAGAACTCACTCACTGTCACGAGAACAGCATGGGGGAAACTGCCCCTATGCTTCAGTTACCTCCACCTGGTCTCTCCCTTGACACGTGGGGATTATGGGGATTACAATTCAAGATGAGATTTGGGTGGGGGCACAAAGCCCAACCATATCAAGAAGAGTGTGCCTTCCAACTTTGTTCTTATTTTTAAAGACTGCTGGCTATTCTGGGCTCTTTGCTGTTACATATGAATTTTAGGATCAGCTTGTTAATTTCTGAAAAAAACCTGCTTGGATCTTACTAGGGATAGCATTGTATCACCAAATCATTTGGAGAATTGCCATCTTCAGGATTATGTCATCTGCAGAGATAGTCTTGCTTCTTCTTTTGCAGTCTGAATGCCTTTTATTTTTTTTTTCTTGCCTGATTATCCTGTCCAAAAAAAGGAGTTAAATAGAAATGGAGAGAGCAGGCATCCTTGTCTTGTTCCTGATCTTAGGGGGAAAGCTAAGGCCCCACCTTTGTCATCATCATTTGCAGAGGTTCCTAGTGTCACTCATTCCTGAGCATCCTGGAGTTCCCACAGTGTGAATCTGGTTGCTTCTTGGCTCTCCCTACAGTTGGCTTAAAGGTCAGCCTTCTTGGGCTGGTAAGGCCCCACTCAGACTTATGCTTCCATATTTTCCTGCTGTTATTTCCTCTCCCTTTTTCTTTTTTCCTGCAGGCACATAGCTTTTTGAAAGTCATTCTAGTAGAGTTTGGGCTGGGAAAAAAATTCTATGCATATATTCAACCCACTGTCTTTAACCATAGTCTCTATTGTTTTGTTTATATTGGGATGGCTTTCCTGTGGTTATGATTTGGTGTAAGAATGGTGTCACAGTTTTTTGTTGTTGTTTATTCAGTGGCTTTTAAACTTAGATATGTCCTAAAAGGAAAAGTCTTCCTTCTCTACTGAATTCTTAAAAATGAGATACCATGTTCATGGAACACACATGCATCCATATGTGTATACACACAAAAACAATTTCAAAAACATTTCTGCATAGTACAATTACATGAAAATAGATGGTGTTCAAGTTATACTTGCCTTTTACCTCTGTGTGTATTCATCTGTGAAATCAATTCTAGCCAATTTTAGGATGAAAAATAAAACTAATGCTAATATAGTGAATGTGTAGAGATTTTGAAAACCCCTGATCCTTTATCCAAATTGTAAACAGTGTTCTTTTTAGTGCTTCTGTAATTGCTATTTTTCTTAAAGCCAAAGAGAAAGTAACTTTTCTACATTCTGTGATTTTCAGAGTTTCAGATTTTGAAAAGAAAGCGAGTAATCGTTCTGAGGTTGAAACCCAGACAGATGGGAGCACAGAGAAAGAGAATGAGGAAGAGAAAGGCGCAGAGACTGTGAGTACTGAGATCCTACAGCCACTGTCACACCCCCACACACAAGAGTAGTCCAGCCACCAATTTCCAATCTCATGATGTGTTATTGGCTTTAGAAATAGAGAAATTGTGTTGATGTTGAACATTATCTATTCCTTTTATATTTCCTTGTCCTGGTCTGAATTTCATGCTGTGTCAATTGTAGCAAGATGTATTTCTATCAGTATTCTGCAAAACCATTTCCTATATCTCTTCTTGACTAATTTCTTCTCCTAAGTCCTTAAATGAACAAGCCTACTACTATATGAAAAAGGAATTTTCTCCACTTCATAATAAGATCATTTGAGGATATGACTCAGAAACTTGAGGTAGAATGGAAAGATTTTGGTTCTATCCCATTACTGGTTTGAATAAAGTAGTTTGAAAGAAAAAGGTTCAGTATTGTCTTGTTCAGTATTGTCTGGTAATTTAGAGAGGCGCCTTTGAGTCTGCAGAGTCTTAAGCTTAGGGAAGATACTGAAGCTGTGAAGGTGTAATAGCCATAGGAGCCCATGTGAAAGGTGTTTACACAAAGTATTCACTTTAGGTAATTAATTTATTCAACAAATGTATATATTGAATGCCTACTGTATGCAAGGAGACTGAAACTCTACTATTGAGAGAATAAAGAACATTTAGAAAACAGATGAAGAGACCACCAGTGAAAAATAGTACCCTGTTGACTAAAACTCATTCAACAGCCAATAGTAGGGAAGTATGGTATTTCAAGACATCACAAACTCATTTACAAAAATTATAGAGGGCTGGCTCACACCTGTAATCCCAGCGCTTTGGGAAGCAGAGGCAGGTGGATCACAAGGTTAAGAGATCAAGACCATCCTGGACAACATGGTGAAACCCTGTCTCTACTAAAAATACAAAAACTAGCTTGGCATGGTGACACGCACCTGTAGTCCCAGCTACTCAGGAGGCTGAGGCAGGAGAATCGCTTGAACCCGGGAGGCGGAGGTTGCAGTGAGCCAAGATCACACCACTGTATTCCAGCCTGGTGACAGAGTGACACTCTGTCTCAAAAAAAAAAAAAAAAAAAAAATTATACAGCTGCCAGGAAAAAGGCTATACAACAGAAGTAGTTGAGTAAACTAGAAACATACACTGGGAAGGGAGTATGGGGGCAAGTTGTTAGCTGGGTAGATAGGACTGTGCTTTGACACACTGGTGGTCTGTGATCTCTGAACCTGGAGTAGGGTTAATTTTAATAGTAATAAAGTCATTATCACGAGTACATCCAAACTGATTAGTTCATGCTTTATTAGCAAACCCAAGTACCAAGTATCCAAAACACTCTTTTCATACAAGATATTTGGAGTATTGTCAAAGTTGAATCAATTAACCATCCAGTCTTAACTGGCGACTAATGGTTCAAACTGTTTTCTCCCAAAGAGGGTTGTTTCATCTCTGATGATAATCGTATACATATGTTTGGGATTTCCTGTATGATAGGTTGGAAGTGAAGTAGAGGCACTGAACCTTCAGGTGACATCCCTGTTTAAGGAGCTTCAAGAAGCTCATACAAAACTCAGTGAAGCTGAACTAATGAAGAAGAGACTTCAAGAAAAGTAAGGATGCAAGAGCAATTTCATCCCTCTTTGAATACATTTTTACAAAGTATACTACTATAGAAAATCATAGGTCTTTTTTTTTTTACTATATTATGGCTAAAAGAAAAATAGAGACCTAATTAAAATATGAATTCAGGAAATACTAATGTTCCAGTTAATGTTCCACTTAAATAATTGTAATATGGGGGAGTGGGGACTGGAGAACTTTAATTCTGCCATTTAGGGGCGTTTATTTAATGTACGATCCTAAGTGAGAGCTCTACATAGCTGTGAGCTAGGTTTCCTGCTACTGACTTAAGCTGATGACATTGATGTGAATGAGCATAAAGAAAGACGAAAAGAACATAAAGATCTTGAGTGACACTTACTTGGAAAAACGTCTATTTCAATTTGTTATTTCAACCAATTATTTCAGGCTAACATGTACATTGAGAATTTGGCATTTGCTTGTTTCTCTTGATGTAAGAAGTTACCCAAAACTTAGCAAACCTAAGTCGATGTTGTTCTGTTGGATTCATTGGCTAACATGCTTCTAGCACAATATGGAGGTGTGTGTGTTTTCTTGAGGTTGTAATTCCCAACACTCTGTAGTGTTAGGGTAACGTGATACAATATGGCAGCTACAACTTAGGACTTTGGACTAACACACCTAGATTTGGCATATGGGTCTGCGAGTTATTTGTGCTGGGCAAGGTATTTATTTCACTTCTCTGAGCCTGTCTTGTCATTTGTAAATTGTGCATTATAATTTCTTCTGTATACATTGTGTTAAATGATATGTCTTATGCGCTTGGCATTAATGCTTTGTGCATAGTTGTCATTTATCTGTATTATATTGAAATTCTCTTTCTGATCTTTAAGAAGGCTTAGGGGAGCTTCCTTTTTCCCTTATTGAATCTTTGTCAGAAACTAATGTCTTTGCAATTGACAGAACTTGTAACTTTTTTAAATATAAAAGATATCCATGCATTACTACATGAGAAGCACCTTTAGCTAATTACTACTGTGGTCTGCATTTAAATAATAAAAATGTATCTGTACGACCAGTTAAAATAATTATTTAAAGAGGACAGTACTGGACGTGACTAGATCTGTACTTTTTTATGTTTAGGTATAAGGTTTCAGAAATATGGCCATGTCTAGTAAAGAAGCAAAGAGAAGTATGTAAAACTCTACAGCCCTAAAACTCTTTGTATTGTACCTAACCCTGGGATTTGTTTAAAAGCCACTGAGATGTAAAGAAGCATTGTTTATCCTCATGAAACCTTGACCTTTCTTAGGTGTCAAGCCCTGGAAAGGAAAAACTCTGCAACCCCATCAGAATTGAATGAAAAGCAAGAGCTTGTTTATCATAACAAAAAGTTAGAGCTGCAAGTGGAAAGCCTGCTATCAGAAATCAAAATGGAGCAGGCTAAAACAGAGGAAGAAAAGTGAGTGTGTGTGTTGGAAGGGGAGGGGTGGCCACTGGGCAGAGGAGAGTCGCCTTTTTATACAGTTTGTAATTCAGATTTGAAAATAAATTTTTAAAAAATTCCTTTTCACTTATCTGAAGGTGTCCTAGGAGACTTCTCAGAGGGGATAAAGTTTAAAAGTTTTGTCATAATAAAATTATGTTGATTGTTTGCATTCCATCTTGATTTTTCAGAAAAGTTTTTTTTGAGAGTAAAAAATGCTAGTAGGTAGTGGGATGATAAAGGTAGGCGAGAAGATTTTTCCACTTGAGTGTTCCAAAGGTTCGGAGGCAAGACTGTAAGTTTCTATGATATTTTCCCCAAGGTTCCATGTTTTAATGTCTTTTTTCATAGGTCCAGATTAGCCATGCTACAATTGACACACAACAAGCTCCTTCAAGAACATAATAATGCATTGAAAGCAATTGAGGAACTAACAAAAAAAGAGGTATTCACAGAAAAAATTTACTTTCATCGCCTAGTAATGAACAGAAACTGTTGTATATAAAATAGTTGCATGAATCCTTCCCTAAGTCTGGTTTTAAAGATTGCTTTCCAGTGTATCACTATTTCATGTTTCTTCTTTTCCACTGACTTCAGGAAGTAAGAGGTGGAAAAATATCAACAAGTCACAGCCTTATCAAGATTGGATAATCTTGTTTTTGTATCCCTGATTTTAGGGTTACCTTTTTTTAGGAATTCGTTATCTGCAAGTCACAACTTAAATATAACTTTCTGAATAAGTTAGCATTGTTAATTAACAGACTGGTTAGAGCTGATACATTTCTTTTTTACATAGAGACAGGTCTCACTATGTTGCCCAGGCTTGTCTTAAACTCCTGGGCTCAAACGATCCTTCCACTTCAGCCTCCCAGAGTGCTGAGATTCCAGGCATGAGCCACCACAGCCTGCCAGAGCTGATAATTAAAAAATAATAAACCTTTTTCTAATATTTTACTAAAATAGGCAAAAT